AAAAGAAGTGAAGGAAATCTTGATTTGTTTTTCATATTAATGTAATTAATCTGTCATGGCAAAGCAGATTAACTGCAGCAAGTTAAAGATCTGGTTGACTTGCGTTAAGCTGTTTGTGATGTCCTTCTGACCTGGCAGTTTTGTCGCTCAGTGGTTAAAGCGTTCGCTCGTCATGCAGAAGACCCGGGTTCAATTCCCCATTACAATGTGTGAAGCCCATTTTTGGTGTCCCCTGTGATATTGCTGGAATATTGCTAAAGGCGTTGTAAAACTAAACTCACTTACTCACTCCTTCTGAACTTTTGTTTATGAGGAAACCTATGCCTTGAAAAACCCATTGCCATACGATAAACCAAGGACTGACAAACAGACAAGGTGTTCAAAGACTTGCTCCAGGATAAGGTGTAGGGATCTTTTCTAATGCACTCTAAGTGACACATTCCTAAATGTTTTTGATGGTATTTAAATAATATACTCAACAAAAAAAGTTAAGAACCACCCCAATATTCAATATTTAAGTATTATATGGATCATAATGGAACTATTGAATACTTTAATATTGAAAGTTGGTAGGTCCTTAACTTTTGTTGTTGAGTATATAATGATAATGACTGCCAAATGGTACATCCCTGCTTACACCTGCAAGTTTTGATCTGAGAAAAGGACAAAAATTGCTTGAATGATTGAAAGCAGTTCATTTGTTTTTCTAATGAACATGTCTAACAGTGGAGTTCAAATGAATAATTTACCGTCCATTTGTCACGGATATAACGCTACATGTGGCATATTTTATTCGTTATTAGGGACCCCTTACATGTTTATCTACCAAAATCTGGTTTGGGACACAGATCCTTTGACTTTCATGCTGTATTTCAAACACTGCAGTAGTCATTGATGAATTTATGTACATCTTGTTTGTCAAAAAGAATCCTTTCATAACCTCGACCTTTGAAGTAGGAAAATAATTATTGGTTTGTCATTTTCTAAGGCAAGCATTTGTCACTTAAGTCAAACAATAAACAGCAGCTGTAGGATTTATGTTCAAAGTCTGACTAAAAAGGACAGTATAAAATATGATCCTACAAAGAGGTAAAATTGGACGGTGACACAAATGATCAAAACTTGGTCCCACTTCAGACGTGAAAAGATGAAAGAGGCATTGCCAAAATGATCAAACCTTTAAGACATTCCAATTCAATCTTTTAACTGAGGTATTGCATAATACATATTGCTTTACACCAATGTGCCACCATTGGTAAAGCTTAACTGTTTCTGCAGCTGCTTGGGATCTACCCTCAGACACAGGCTAAACTGGGTGGGCAGGGATCTACCCTGAGACACAGGCTAAACTGGGTGGGCAGGCATCTACCCTGGGACACAGCTATCTGTTCTGCAAGGATATCTCTGTCCTGCTGGTTGATCCAGCTGTTCACCAAGAGACACACATCATTATAGCTTAACCTTAGCCTCAAATATTGTCCAGTGCTTTTCTTCCTTGAGGTTTTATTTGAAAATGATGATAAGAGGCAGAGTGGATCACAGGGCAATGTGTGCATTTCATTATAGTCCAACTTTCTGCTTGACTGAACCAGTTTGTGTAGGACACATATCATTTGAAGCTTTCGTGCTGCACTTTTGTTGGTATCTCAAGGATCAATTTAATTTTGAAGCATGCACTTCTCTTTGCTCATTTCATCTGATGACAGGTGCCAATCAAACAGGAACTCACACTTGAGATCCTGTTAAGCAAATTACAAAATGTTGGTTAAGTGAAAGTACACATCGGCATGAAGGTGTGTTTGATGTTATCTTTGACAGGATGTCAATATATGATAATATATATCGTTGCAATGATTAGGAAAGTATGGATGAAATGGTGTGATATAGGTAGAAATGACTTGTGCATAGATTAGTGGTGATGTGAGCAAGGGCATGGGAAGCCTCTCGATGGATGTATGGCTGAACATGACCTGAAGACTATCCTCCACTGTATGGCTGTTGCTTGTGTTCACAAGGACATCGTTCCCAGTAGGGCGGTGGGGTAACCTAATGGTTAAAGTGTCCGCTCGTCACACTGAAGACCTATGTTCACAAGGACATCGTTCCCAGTAGGGCGGTGGGGTAACCTAATGGTTAAAGTGTCTGCTCGTCACACTGAAGACCTATGTTCACAAGGACATCGTTCCAAGTAGGGCGGTGGGGTAACCTAATGGTTTAAGTGTCCGCTCGTCACACTGAAGACTTATGTTCACAAGGACATCGTTCCCAGTAGGGCGGTGGGGTAGCCTAATGGTTTAAGTGTCCGCATTTCGTCACACTGAAGACTTATGTTCACAAGGACATCGTTCCCAGTAGGGCGGTGGGGTAACCTAATGGTTTAAGTGTCCGCTCGTCACACTGAAGACTTATGTACACAAGGACATCGTTCCCAGTAGGGGTGGGGTAACCTAATGGTTTAAGTGTCCGCTCGTCACACTGAAGACTTATGTACACAAGGACATCGTTCCCAGTAGGGGGGTGGGGTAACCTAATGGTTTAAGTGTCCGCTCGTCACACTGAAGACTTATGTTCACAAGGACATCATTCCCAGTAGGGCGGTGGGGTAACCTAATGGTTAAAGTGTCCGCTCGTCACACTGAAGACCTATGTTCACAAGGACATCGTTCCCAGTAGGGCGGTGGGGTAACCTAATGGTTTAAGTGTCCGCTCGTCACACTGAAGACTTATGTACACAAGGACATCGTTCCCAGTAGGGCGGTGGGGTAACCTAATGGTTAAAGTGTCCACTCTTCACACTGAAGACCTATGTTCACAAGGACATTGTTCCCAGTAGGGCGGTGGGGTAACCTAATGGTTAAAGCGTCCACTCGTCACACTGAAGACTTATGTTCACAAGGACATCGTTCCCAGTAGGGCGGTGGGGTAACCTAATGGTTAAAGTGTCTGCTCGTCACACTGAAGACTTATGTTCACAAGGACATCGTTCCCAGTACTCAAACTTGGGTTCGATTCCCCACATGGGTACAATGTGTGAAGCCCATTTCTGGTGTCCCCCGCCGTGATGTTGCTGGAATATTGCTGAAAGTTAAACCATACTCACTCACTCACTCCCAGTCTCTGGTGTTGTAGTTCACTGTACAGAGTTATGTCCCTTAGTGATCCTAGAAACCTGTGATGGCGGGTTCAAATCCCAGTTTCACCCTGTTCATGTTCAAGGTTTGAAGGCCTGTACCTGTGCATGGGAGTTTCACCATCATCTGAAACTCATTTTCATCACAATAAAGACTGTGTTTTCAAAAGTTTCAACATGCTACCTTAGAATCATGATGGCTGTTTTAGGTGAAAAAAGAAACTTTTGAAATGTCAGTGTTTAGTTTTCTAATTTGTGGAAGTTATTGTTGTCACCTGCTGGTTTGTCTGGGCCAGAGTTGATAGCAAATAAACTGTGTATTGCTGACTGTGATGAAACAACAGCAGTCAATCAGTGTAGCCTGTACAACATTCAGCAGAGTGGTCTCCCTTCTTTTGTTTGATTATGTAATATTCAAGCTTGATTTATAAATTTCAGTGACATTTGAAAATAAATTTGAAGTATCCTCGCGTCATCTGTTTTCGTTCAACATCTGTTTTCGGTCGGCTGTTTGCGTGTTCATTTCTCGCGGTTATTAGCGAGATATTACGTCACCAGACAGGTTATTTTTAGCAGGTCGACTGCTTCAGCTCTGACTAACAAAATGCTTCGTGTGAAGTTTAGTAAGGTACATGATTGCAAACACATGTAAATGTTATGTTTTAGAACCGAGTTTACTAATGCATAAATTTTCATGTAATCAAAATGCTATATCTAAAATATCGTCAGCTCCACCTTTCCACCTCAAGCTGTGCATCTCTGTATGTGTAGTGAGATCTTCTGATGAATTTTGGTGCCCTTGTCAGCGCGAACCAGAGGAGTGAAACATGCCTGGACATGTGATGTAACTAGCAAAGTCTTATCATGATTAACTTTGACATGAAATTATTACGACCATAGTTTCTAATAATTATTATTGGAACTATTACAAATATTCTTTTTGGACTGGATGTTTATCAACTTTATATTATAAAAATATCAGCATAACACGAATACTGCTATGAGATTTCTGTTTTACGGAGAACCAATGAAGTGAACGAAAACAGATGATGTCACTTCCGCATTCACGATCTTTGCGTAGCGAACTATGAGGCCTGCTGTGCGGGTGAAACACGAGGTTAATCCGTCAGATATTTGAATATCATAAATAAATAACAAACAAACGAGGTAGGTAGCACTTTATGTTACGCTGGTTGACAAACCTTACATGACCGAAAACCGAATACACAAGGATACTGTAAATCATGAAATTAATGTGAGCATTATATTAATGTGAAATAAAGTATGTAGTCTTCTCACATTATTATCATGACGCTAGCGTTTCAGTCTGACCATGTCTACTTTTGAGAGCTTAATAAAAAGACAGAATGACATAAATCTCTTGTTGTCTCTATATTCTTCAGGTTAGCATTCATCATAACAATACAGCATATAACAACAAGTTAGATATCTCTCTTAAAATTAATTGACAAATGAGCTTTAATTTCCACGACACTAATTGATTTCCATTGAACTTATACATCGGCAAAATAGGTAACAATAGCAAAAGTGTTGACACTACACATTACACCAACACAGGCCACTTCATGGCAGCGTCATCCAAACATCATCAGCTCATTTCCATTCATTGCTTAACAAGCTCAATTCCGGTTATTTGGTAAATAACAAGTGTGAAAATAAAACAAAAAACATCAAAGATTCAAGGTGTCACATTTTATCATCAGATTCCTGAGCTCACATTAATTTCATGACGCATTTTAGATTAGACCCTTGCACTCGCATAAATTTGTGACCCATTAATTGCATGATTTAGAGTATGTACTCTGAGTGCATGTGTTTGTTTTACTGATGACAGCCTGCCTTGTTTCAGTTTGTGGACCTGGGGCGCATCACATCAATTGAGAACAATCACAAGAATGTGGACATGGCAAGGCAGGGGCAGGAAGTGTGCATCAAGATAGAGTCCCTCCCAGGGGACACACCCAAGATGTACGGCCGACACTTTGACCACACAGACATCCTGGTCAGCAAGGTGAGTTAAACCTGGGTTTTGGAAGGTTAAAGATTCGGGATGTCAAGTCTCTTGTGACATGTTGGTGGTTGAATAAGAGAAGAGAGCAGGTCAGCAAAGAGTGTGAGGAGAGTTTTTGACATGTTCTACAAACTGAAATTTTTTAACGTAGGTCGAAAGAAAGAGTCATCTGTGCTGAATTGGAAAGGGGAACCTAAAACTTGAGTTAAATACAGTCACACACTGTTGTGTCGAAATTTGATGTGTCAAACTGACAGTTGCTTGAAGTGATAGCTTGGTTCTTGTGTATTCATATTAGGTCTTCATTTTGTTGGTGTGGTGAGCATTGGATAACTGGGGATGGTGGGGTTGTCTAGTGGTTAAAGCGTTCAGTCGTCACGGGTTCGATTCCCCTCATGTCGTACAATGTGTGGAATCCATTTCTGGTGTCCCTGCCGTGATATTGCTGGAATATTGCTGTAAGTGTTGTAAAACTGAAACTCACTGACCGCTCACCGTGGATAACTGGAAGTATTTACGTGGTTCCCTTCAACTACTACTGAACGGCCAACCGCTCGCAATGATGGGCAACAGTGCCGCCTGCAGCAAACAAAAAACGGACACTTCATTCAAAAACCTTGACACTCTCTTCACCGAAACAGCCATATTTCACTTAATTCATCTCGCTTGGTGCTGCTGCCGTACCAGGTTATTTTGATCACAGGGTGAAGGGGGGCCATGGGTGTTTGCTGTGTAGAGTTGTATCCCTTGGACATGGCAAGAAATCTGTGGCGTGATTTCAATCACATTTCTTCTGATAATGGTTTGTCAACACCATACCTGTGGTGGTAGTTTACATCACTATCATGTGTGATCGCTTCAGGGATTCCTCCCGAATGGGCTGACAGACAGCGATGTAGCTTGAATACTGTTAAAAGTGGCTTTGAACAAAACCCTCCCTCACTCATTCATATATAGAAAGATTTTTTTGTCCAGTGTTTTGAAATGTGTTGCGCTGTTTGAGGAGTTTATTTATCACAATGTTTGAAAATATTTACAACTGATAACGTGTATGAGATGTTCTTGGCAGGACACCTCAGGGCCAGTGTGAGTGTGGATGGAACTTTGATACTGTTCAGGCTCAAGGTTGTTTTTGTCCTGGTTGTAAGATTCTTAGCATTTTGTAACTGTTTATTGCAAACATGTTGTTTATCATCTGCATAATACATGACCACTGCCAAATTTCTCAGATACTGGAACTCTTCAACAATTTTATCTTTTTAGCAATATTTAAAGTCTCAGTTAGCCTGTCTATTTCATGATGCAATTTAGACAAAGCCAAGCTCTCAAAATGTCAAACTCCACAAGGGTGAAATACCAAACAAGTGAAACTCTCTGTTATCAGAGACTCTGTACAATTGAGATTGTTGAGAGTAACAGAGATGGTGTAACAGGGATGGAGTGAGGCGGTGTAACAGGGATGGAGTGAGGTGGTGTAACAGGTATGGAGTGAGGTGGTGTAACAGGGATGACGTTAGGTGGTGTAACAGGGATGGAGTGAGGTGGTGTAACAGGGATGGGGTGAGGTGGTGTTACAAGAATGGAGTGAGGTGTAACAGGGATGACGTGAGGTGGTGTAACAGGGATGGGGTGAGGTGGTGTAACAGGGATGGAGTGAGGTGGTGTTACAAGAATGGAGTGAGGTGTAACAGGGATGACGTGAGGTGGTGTAACAAGGATGGGGTGAGGTGGTGTAACAGGGATGGAGTGAGATGGTGTAACAGGGATGTAACAGGGATGGAGTGAGGTGGTGTAACAGGTATGAGGGAGTGAGGTGGTGTAACAGGGATGGAGTGAGGTGGTGTAACAGGGATGGAGTGAGGTGGTGTAACAGGGATGACGGAGGTGGTGTAACAGGGAAGGGAGGGGTGAGGTGGTGTAACAGGGATGGAGTGAGATGGTGTAACAGGGATGTAACAGGTATGGAGTGAGGTGGTGTTACAGGGGATGGAGTGATGTGGTGTAACAGGGATGGAGTGAGGTGGTGTAACAGGGATGGAGTGAGGTGGTGTTACAGGGATGGAGTGAGGTGGTGTTACAGGGGATGGAGTGAGGTGGTGTAACAGGGATGGAGTGAGGTGGTGTAACAGGGATGGAGTGATGTGGTGTAACAGGGATGTTAGTGAGGTGGTGTAACAGGGATGGAGTGAGGTGGTGTAACAGGGATGGAGTGAGGTGGTGTAACAGGGATGGAGTGAGGTGGTGTAACAGGGGGATGATGTGAGGGTGGTGTAACAGGGGATGGAGTGAGATGGTGTAACAGGGTGGGGTGGTGTAACGGGGAGGTAGAAATTGTGGTGTATGGAAGTGAGGTGTAACAGGGATGGGGTGAGGTGGTGTAACAGGGATGGAGTGAGGTGGTGTAACAGGGATGGAGTGAGGTGGTGTAACAGGGATGGAGTGAGGTGGTGTAACAGGGATGGAGTGAGGTGGTGTAACAGGGATGGAGTGAGGTGGTGTAACAGGGATGGAGTGAGGTGGTGTAACAGGGATGGAGTAAGGGTGGTGTAACAGGGATGGAGGGAGGTGGTGTAACAGGGTGTAACAGATATGAAGTGAGATGGTGTAACAGGGATGGAGTGAGGTGGTGTAACAGAGATGGAGTGAGGTGGTGTAACAGGGTGTAACAGATATGAAGTGAGATGGTGTAACAGGGATGGAGTGAGGAGGTGTAAGAGGGATGGGGTGAGGTGTAACAGGGACGAAGTGAGGTGGTGTAACAGGGTGTAACAGGTATAGAGTGAGATCGTGTAACAGGGATGGAGTGAGGTGGTGTAAGAGGGATGGAGTGAGGTGTAAGAGGGATGGGGTGAGGTGGTGTAACAGGGATGGAGTGAGGTGATGTAACAGGGATGGAGTGAGGTGGTGTAAGAGGGATGGAGTGAGGTGGTGTAACAGGGATGGAGGTGGTGGAGTGGGAGGGTGGAGGGGTAATAGGGTGTAACAGGGATGGAGTGAGGTGGTGTATTGGAGTGGTTTACCTGGCAACCAAATTAATGCAGAAGTATATCTGCAATATGTAGCAACTCTCACTCACCTTTTCTTGAACTGGTGATAGTTTGATGATAAGGTATTTCCGGATTCACACATTTCAATTGTTTAAAAGCAGAATATTTTGAAGAAATCCTCTGAAGATTTGAAATTGGTTTGGTCTTCAACAAATCAAGATGGAAATGTTGATGGAAAAAGTTATGCCCAAATTATGGAGATTGGTGCATCTGATGTCAGTCACTGGGTTGTCTGGTCCAGATACAGCCTGCTGCATATGGCTGAAATATTGCTGAATGTGGCTTTGAACAAAGATCATAAAACCTTTCTCTCACAAGGATTGCTTGCTTGCAGTTTTCATCTGCCTGGAATGTGCTGGCGAGTCGTCAGTGAAAGTAAATAATGGCCAGATTTGTGGGCAACCAACAAGACACACCGATTACCAAGTGCCTAAGTAGAAAGAAGGAATATGTCAGTGAGGCAGCCCTTTGACATTCTAATCAGTTTATATTACCGGGCTATCCTCCCTTAATGTGGAAGAGGTCATGTTGAGAACGTTCATTTCTCCATGTGTATAGAATGCACCTAGTGACCTCCTAGTGCGGGTGGGGCGTTTAACCTCGCTCTTAACACAGGTCATGGAGTATGGAGTAACGTAAGGGGCAACTTCCAGGGGCACCTCATTCATTTGAGGATTTTTTGTTCTGCTGCAATTCAGATAAATGTTGACAGTGAAGGGCTTGGATGAAGGGATCTATCTAGAACTGTTCATAGGCAGATATTCAGCCCAAAGTCAGTAAATTTCCCAGATGGAAACAAAAGATTTTCCTGGTCATGTTTATGCTCTTAGAACCATGAATGTTGGAGGGAAGGAGCACACTATCTTGGTACACTATCTCCAAAACTATTCTCAAACCTCCTTATTTTCAGCACATATAGAACTAATAGAAGACAAATAGCTTATTTTATAGCTTTGGTGGGGTAAAATGTATGTCACTGAATAAGGGACAGTATAAAAAACCCACAAAAGATTAATTTTAACTCAGGGATCCTTAATGCAATATCTACCTCATAATCAAATGCACAAAAATCCTAAATCTTTACTCCAAAGATGCCATTAATGTTTCGTCTGCTTAGTTGACCTCCCACCTTACAAGATCACGCTACTAGTCATGTGACCTCACTGTTAGATATATTTTCATGGCATGCCATTTTTTAAAAAACTTTTAGTTTATGTTGAAGGGTGAACAAAGACATTTCCTTAAGGTTGAAACACAAAATTTATTCTGGGTAGTATTTTAATTAACCACTGTTAACGAAAGTTCAAGAGAATTCATGAAACTGAAAATAGCTCTATTTTACCCGCCTCCTGTAAGTCACGTGTTTGTATGCAAATGCAACTGAAGGAATTCCCTCTTTCAGCCATTTAGAAAGTAGCTAACCTGTAATACCTGGGTCGTATTGTGACGTTTTGTTGCATGATTGGACGAATGAGTTTTTCTATAAACCACTTTACAACTCATAATATTTCAATGACGAAATAGGACACCCCAATCTAAATATATCTAGCATTGCCATTGGCTGACAGGGGAGGCATGCGTACTTGTGTACTACACAGCTTCCGTTTAAGAGGTAAACAAGCAATGACAACCACAGTGTTCAGTATAAGAAAACATGATACGGTAGAATAAAATGTTTTAATGTATGTGCATCCAAATAATGATTATTTCCGATTATCGATCTGCAGTTTATTTGTAATCAACAATCATTTATTTTTACTTAGATCGAACGATTAACCGATCCTGCGATTAATCGCTCCAGCACTACTTAAAATACCTCTCAATGTTTTTTCAGACATCCCATTTTGTGACAAAATATTATATGTTTTTTTCATAGTTTGCTTGCCAGGAGCACTTAATTAGAAAATGGATAGTTCCAAGGATGAGTGACAACATGGTGTTCTGTGAAACTGT